TAAATTGCCTCCCTATTACTCCAATTTCCCACATTTGTCCTGATAGGTTTATTTTCCATTCAATCTGTTCTTCTTCCTTTTCCTCAAATTTCTTTTGATTCTTTTTTTTTCAGTGTTGTCACTCCCTTTTCTGATTTTTTCCATTGGCTGGATCTGTTGATCAATTGAGTCCTCTGTCTTAGTGTTTAGTTGGTTGTAGTCAAAATCTGGGTTTGTATATTTAAGCTGGCATCTTGTTCCTTTATATTGTATCTTATTTTGTCACAAGCTTAAATAATGGTTTCGTGTATTGATTTCAACATAGAAACGATTTTTTCCTGATCTTCATCCTATTCTCTCGATAGTATGTTAAGTTGAAGACTTTAAAATCAAATGTTAAGAATAGTTTTTTGTTTTTTAAAGCTAGGTATGGGACATCTATTTCATGTGTGATAGGTGGTCTTTATAATAGAACTTATTTGTTGAGTAAGAGTTTATAGTCCAACGTATTCCATCATCTCGTATAACATATACTTCTCATGTAAAGAAATAGGAAAGTAATTCCCCACATATAGCTCTGAAAGTCAGTGGAAGTTTACATTCATAGTTCAAACAGGCCAGTTATGCCGCTCAGAAATTCCTTCTTTGCAGCTGAGTTTTTTACAGGTGGTAGCTGTCAAGGTCAGATAAGTTTTTTCTGGAGTCTTCTGGGCTTCAAGCCAAGTCTCTTTTTTTTTTTTTTTTTTTTTAATTAAAAGTTTTATAAATTTTACAAAAAAAAACAAGAACAATACAGAACAAAAAACAACATATACAAAAGAAAAAAAAATTAAACAATACATATAAAAAAAACCCCCACCCCACACCCCTCCCAAAAACCCTCCCTTCCCCCCCCCTGAGCTTCCCAGAGCAGAATATAGGCTTAAGAAATAATAAAAAAAAAAATAAAAATTAAATTAAAAACTCTATATTTATATATATAAAAAAGATATCTATAATATATATAAAAATAAAACTTATGAAAAGGCTATATAATATTTTTGTATACCCAATCTAAATTGTATAAATTTTATCCATTTGTCCCAGATAGCAAAAAACTTCTCTTGCGTTTGTTGCTTTAAGAAAGCCGAAATCTTTGCCATTTCCGCCAGATAAGCTACTTTAAAAAACCATTCCTGCAATGTAGGCAAAGATTCCTTCTTCCAATATTGTCCAACTAACAGCCTCGCGGCTGTGATCAAGTTTAACATCAATACAACCTCCTTTGTATCACAATCTGTAACAATACCTAACAAAAATAATTGCGGAGTGAATTTTACCCTCCTTCTAAAAATTCTCTGGATATTCCACCATATTTTGATCCAAAATGCTTTTATCTCTCTGCATGACCACCAAATATGATAATAAGAAGCCTCCTTGTAACCACATCTCCAGCATTTAGGTTGCACGTCAGGGTACATATAAGACATTTTTTGTGGATCAAGGTGCCATCTATAAAACATTTTATAAAAATTCTCCCTTAAATTCTGTGCTTGAGTAAATTTGACATTTCTCACCCAAATAGTTTCCCAGGTGTCCAATGAAACTGGCTCACCAAAGTTCTGCGCCCATCTAATCATACAATCTTTAATTAGTTCCGTTTCTGAGTCCAATTCAACTAAAACCCCATAAATTCTCTTAATGTGGGTTTGTCTTTGATCCTTCAGTTGCTTAATAAGATTTTCATCTTCTCTAAGAAAACCCACCTTGCAATCCATCTTCCATCTATCTAGTAGTTGCCTATATTGGAACCAAGAATAAGTAAAATTTTCTTGTACTAATTCTTCCCGTGATTTTAATTGCCAGTTTTGTCCATCCCATTTAAGTAACTGTCTATAAGACACCATGTCCATTTTAACCCCTCTTTTTATTCCTTCTATCGCATGCCAAGGTATAGCCCATAATGGTACTTTAAAATCACTTTTATAATATTTTCTCCAAATCCTAAGTAAAGAAATTCTTAAAATATGAGATTTAAAAGCCCAATCTATTTTTTTATTAAATATTAAATAGGCATGCCACCCATAAAGTAAATCCCATCCCTCTAGATAAAGTATCTCAGAATTTGTCAAATTTACCCAGTCACTAATTAATGTTAAAACCACCGCATCATAATATAATTTCAAATTTGGTACCTTGAGTCCACCCCTCTCACGGAAGTCTTGCATAATTTTGAACTTAACCCTTGGTTTTTTCCCTGCCCAAATAAATTTATTGAGACCCTTCTGCCACTCATTTAAATTAATCTCATTTTTCAAAATTGGTAACATTTGAAACAAAAAAAGAAACTTGGGTAGAATATTCATTTTTATCACTGCAATTCTTCCCATGAGGGATAATTGCAGCTTTTCCCAGTTCTTCAAGTCTTTCTGTACCCCGACCCACAACCTTTCATAATTGTTTTTAAATAATTTTGCATTAGAAACAGACAGCATCACCCCCAAATATTTTACCTTATTAACAATCTCAAAACCCGTCGAGTTAACCAAAATCTGCTTCTCCTGACTCGACATATTTTTAGGTAAAATTTTAGTCTTATTTACATTAATCTTAAAACCCGAGACCAAACCATAATGGTGAATCAACTGTAATAAGTTTACTACAGAATAGTCAGGTTGCGACAAAGTAACAACCAAGTCATCCGCAAAAGCTCTCAACTTATATTCTTTTTTATTAACATATATTCCTTTAATTTCCTGAGACTCTCGATAAAAGCACTACGCCATGAAGGAGGAATCTCTAAACCCTGTAGGATACCATTAAAAAGATCATTTAATGGTTGAATCATCTCCTCCATTAAGGCTTTATAATAAACAGCTGTTAACCCATCCGTACCCGGTGCTTTCCCTAATTTCAATTGTTGAATTGCTGAGGCGATTTCCTCCTTAGTGATTAAACCATTAATTTCATATTTCTGATCCTCAGTCAGTTTAGGAAAACTTGCCTCAGCTAAATATTTATTTATATCTAACAGTTGTACATTAGTAGATTTGTATAGGTTTTGATAATAATCCAAAAAAGATTTTTTAATTAATTCCTTCTGAGAAACTAGTTTACCCTTATAATTTATTTTCTCTATTATTCTCTGTCTCTGTTTCTTTCTTAATTGATAAGCCAACCATCTCCCCGGCTTATTAGCATTACAAAATATATTTTGTTTCATAAATAATAAATTGGTTGCAGCTTGATCTGCTATCAACATATTAAATTGTGACCTTAATAACTTTACAGATTCTTTAGTAGTACTAAAGTAGTACTTTCATCAGAAGGATTTAGAATCAAAGCCCTTTCTTTTAGTTTAATTTCATCTTCAAGTTCTCTACGTTTCTGAATCTGATTTCGCTTATAAAAATTATTCATTTTTATCAAAACACCGCGCATAAATGCCAAGTCTCTTTTAGGCAATAAGAAGTTGTAATACCATACTTCACTAAGATGTCACCGATGCTGTGTAAAGCTTTTTAAGTCCAAAGTTTTTATGATGGTTTTTCAAGTCTTATTTCTTTTTTTTTTACATAAAAACAAATGTCTCCAATAAGAATAGTCCCCAAGTTTCCAAAGCATATACATCCAGTTGAATTAAAATTGTTCTTATAGTTGCTCCCCTGGGTAGTTAGTCACCGCTTTTTTAGAGGGTGGGGTAGAAATTCCCTTCCCTCTCTCCTCACAGGGGGAAAAATACTTTGGGCAGCTTTTACAGGAAAAAATATTTAAAGTCTTAAAGAGAAGATCAGATCTCACCTAGTTTCATCTGTGCTGCTTTAAAGATGCTTGATGGTGATTTTGACTTCAGCTGTCAGCAGTGATGAGCCATATTACTATGGCCGGTCTTTCCTCTGCTGGTTTGGAGGGCTTCCCTGGATCAAAAAGGTTTGCCGCCCTGTTGCAATCAAACGGGGGTCCCCTCCTTGCTCGTCGCCCCTACAGGGTGACTTTAAACCCTTTCCGGGGTCCCCTAGCAGAACGAAAGTGGACACAGAAGACAGAGCTCGCCTTCTTGCCTCCGCAGATGCCATGATGGCAAACCAGAAGTCCACAGGGAGAGTCTCATTCTTTTGTCAATCTGAACCAGTTTATTTTACCATGATCTCTCATATTGTGATTTTATAATCTCTTTGTAGATTTTGATGAGGACAATGAGATATTCTAGATTCCCATTTTTAAAGCACATTCCAATTTGACATGACTGACAGAATCAAAGGCCTCCTATAATCAGTAATGTCTATAAGTAACAATGAGTTGTTTCACTTACTCAATTATCCAGTGTACTTCAGCAATGTTTTGTGATTCTCAGTCTTTTCTAAAGCCAGCCTAAACATTTGTTATCTTCTACTTCATATAGAGCTCTAAAGTTCCCAAGTTTTGTCTTATAGTTTGTACACTGTTAAGTTTTTCTTTGGAATTGGTATGTAAATTTATCTCTTTAAATCTATTCTCTATTTTTCTTTTGTTTGGCTGGTATGGCTTGGTTAGAATCTTCATTAACTGAGAATTTACTGATTTTTTTCTTTTGTTGTTATACAGGTTTCTGTAGATATTCTATCAATATTCTATCAATAGATATTCTATCATTACCAGGCCTTTCAACCTGGTAATGACTGGAGTAATTAAGTTCATTTTCCAGTACTAGAGATACATGAGAGTAGGGAATATCTTCCAATATATATTTGATGTTGACATCTCTACTGTATCATATTTCATAACTTTTTCCATCTTTCTTTGGTCTTCTTTGAATCAGTTACTATGCGTCCACTGGTGTCTTTTGGATAGTAGAGAGATAAGCAAGCCATAGGAAGCATGTTTCATCCTTGCAGGGATTGCAGGGATTTATTTATTTATTATTTAACACATACACTAGTTCCATTAATATGTTCTATGTCTATGCTTAACGTATTCTACTAATTAGGTACTGGACTTTTTCTTCTAAAGCTGCCAACATTTTCATTCAGATTAGAAAGTAAAACTGTGGTCTGGGAAGTTAATACAGTTCAATTGTTTTATTATTCCTTCTTTTAAAAAAATAGAAAATTGGCTCTGGCTTCAGAGTTCATTTATAAAAAGACCTGATACACCATACTTCAAGCAACAGATCAATTCTTTCAAAAGAATCATCATACAGCCTTTGACGGTAATGTTTTATAAGGGTTTAAAATTCCTTTAGGATCTAACATAACCTTGAATTGCTGCATGAGAAGAACTGCCTCTTTGGGCTTACTGTAATGGATATAATGTTTCTTCTTGAAACCTAGGCCATGTTCTGCACTGATGCTTCCATAATATTGTGACACCCACTCATACACATATGGCTCAATGGCATCCCGAAGAGAATGACTATAGGACTCTGCTGTGACATTCAGGTGCAAGTTTCCATCTCCTGTCAAAGCAAACCAGAAATAAGAATTGATTTCAAAAGAAGAAAATAGACAATACAGTTATTCTCTGTCTGTGATATGCATAATACTGAGAATTGGTTTCAAAAGAGAAAGCAGACAATACTTTACTAATTCCTTAGCTGTGATATGCAATAATATTTTTTATTAAAATGCACCAATTTCCATACTCCTTTGCAGTTAACTGGAGATGGTAGAAATGGTAAGCCAACATGTTGCAATATTTTGATCTTCTCTGGAAATGCTGAAATCTATTCTAAACATGGGATCATACCAGTCTACCATAGTTCATAGCTTTATTTTTGAACAAAAAAGAACTAAAATATATAACTATCATATTCTTCAAAGATAGAAAAAAATACAGAGGGACACTAGTTTCTTGGTAGCAGGCATCTGTGTTTAATCTTTGTGCATAACTTTGCATGTTCACTTTCAGTTATCATGCTAGATCTTTATCCATATTTGTTATAAAGCCTGGCCTTCTGTCCCTTTCAAAAACGCTCCCTATAAGCTGCTAGAACAACACTGCCAATCTGCACCTTCCGTAAGGTTTGTTCATGGTCTTAGGAAATAATGCCCTATATCCATGTTGAGTGGTCTCTTTCTGAAATTTCCTGCCCAAAGAACTCGTATGACTTCAGCATTTCCAGAGAAAATCACCCAAATTATTACAATCTGGCAATGGATTATTTCATTTTTAATTTTTAAAACATAATTTATTCTGGGCCAACAACACTTCCTCATCTAATATGCATGCTTATGGTAATTATGTCAGGTCAGCAAATATTATATCTTTGCTGCAGATGCCTGAACCACACACAAATACACCAACTTGACTGAGACCAAAAGATAATGGTTTAAAATTATCTAACAATTGAAAACTGAAGTGAGATTTAAATCCAGAACTGAAACACAATCAGTGATTTTGCTACAATGATTCAAAATCCAAATAATCCATAATTAAGGTTTTTATCACCATATTGGAACTCACCTAGATGTCCATAGCCAACGACATTCTTAGCAGCTGTACCCAGACGTACTTTCATGTCAGTCACAAGATCATAGAGTTTTTCGACAGGGAGTGAAATGTCATATTTATAAACAACTCCATCACATGTCAGGGCTTCTGTGATCCGTTCCCGTAAAGCCCATAATGCCTGTAATTGACCAGATATATTGTTTGGAAGAAACAATACCACACTGGCATTCTTAAAGAACATATGATTGACAAAAGTTATAGGTTTAACTGTGTTTTTATGTTGTTCTCATTTCTGAATGTTGTATTATTTTTATTGGTTTGTTCCACTGTATTCTGCTTTAGATTATTTTTTAATGAAAACCAAGTTAAAAAGAACATACAATAAGTAATTTACATTATATTCATTTAGATGAGCACATTGAGCAGCAATGCTTGCACAGAAAACATCAGCACTATAGGATTTGGGGCCAAAAGGTCTTGTGTATAAATCAGGGATAGGAGGCACATTTGGAATTACACTCTTCCAATATGACTGACATACCTTCTATAGAGAAAGGCAATTACTTATTCACAAAATATGTACCATTCTATGTGGCCTGGCCCCCAAACCTCCATTTACTAAAAAGCAATTTGATGAAATAGCTCCCATCTCCTTTAGACCCAAAATTCACTCTGCAACTCAAGTTATCTTTGTCTTTTGTCTTTTTTCTATCTCTGGGCCTATTTCCAAACAAAACATTAAATTGCAGCCTTTCAACCACTTTTTTTAATTGTGTAGCATATAGTATATGGGACTGATAAGGGGTTTAGAGGCATTCTTGTATGAAACATTAGACTAGAAGCAAAGATGGGACAACTTTTTAAATCTAGAAACTGCACTATGATCTTTTGTCTTCCTTGAGGGTTTAGGAGATGATGGCCAATGATACTGAGTCTTTAAAATACAAAACATGTAAATTTTAGACTCACTCATTCTGTGGGATTCTGAGGATTATAGATGGGTACTGGTAGTCACACAAGACCCACAGATTGAGGGTAATTTCTGCAATAGAGCAGTCACACTCCCAGGTCCTATAAGATGATTTTCTTTGAGCGATGGAACCCAAAGTGCATCTACTGTGCCTGATCATACTAGAACATCATTAAGATTTGGAAATAACATTCCCTCAGATAATCTAGAACAGGAGTCCCCAACCCTCAGTCTGTGGATCACTGCTGGGCCACGACATGCCAGCAAGCAGTCCACACAAACAAGGAAAGCCCCATCCACGGGATGCAGGCAGCACACAAAACCACACACCTTCTGGTCTGCAGAAACACCTCTCTCCACGGAACCGGTCCCTGGTGCCCAAAAGGTTGGGGACCCTTGATCTAGAAAGTTCTCTGAGACTCCAACTGAGCCACATTGTAGTGTTTGAATTTAGCATTTAATGATCACTTATTAAAACTACATGGCCAGTAGTTGCAAATTCAATTTATGTATGTTTCAAATTTAAATCATATTTGAATCCAAACCAAACATGTTAGTAAGAAAGGAAAAAAATACCTTTATCTTTTTTCCTTCTGAGGCCAGAGTTCCATCTGCTACCAAATCTGAGCCCATTACATGTTCCAGGAAATGGCTGAGTTTTTCCTCATCATGAGTAGAATTGGAGCCTGAAGTCTCAATTAACACATAAAAAGGACTTTCTAGGTTTACAAAAAGCAGAATTAAAGAGTCATATAGTTTCAAACAAATACATCTACTGGAGCTCTGATATTTATATATAAAAATCAAGTTAAATTTCCTAGATTATGAAAATTGAATAATATAGAGTTGGGACACACACATACACTCAAAGTCCTACTGTAGGGATGGGATGTTGCTGGGAGAGATGAGCAAAGAATGTCAGGAGTGTATGCCAATATTCCCAGCAGGGTCACCCAAAGTGTGAAAGTTATCCCAGCTGCCCAGCTAAAGTCAAAGAGTACAGTGAAAAAATAGGACTAAAATTAAATATAAAGAAGACCAAATTAATGACAAAAGATACAACAGCCAGCCTTAGAATTAACAATGAAGATACTGAAGTATGGGATCAGCCATCACCATAAAGGAACAAGCAGTCAAGAAATACACCCCACACCAGTAATTGGTAGAGCAGCCGTGAAGACTTTGGAAAATATATTTAAATACCGTGATGCTGGCTAGGGAATTCTGGGGATTGAAGCCCATATATTTTAAAGTTATCAAAGTTGGGAAGCACTAGTCTATACCTACAAAGATCAGAATCATGCCAGCCATAGTATTCCCAGTGACATTCTAAGGAAGCAAAAGTTGGACTTTAAAAAAACAGGATGGGAAGAATATTGATGCTTTTGAACTTTGGGGTTGGTAAAGACACCTGAGAATATTGTGCATAGCTTAGAAAACCAATGGAGCATCAATAAATCAACCCAAAGTTCTCACTCAGGGCATAAATAGCCTGGCTCAAATTATCCTATTATCAACATATTGCTTGGAGAATGGAAATTCTCTCTCTTCATAAAGATCATCCTCTTTATTCACTACATGTTATGCCAAATTATCTTCTGTAATTCTATAACATCAATGACCCTTACATTTTAGCCAAGATCATGAACAATGGTTAATATAATCTTTATGATCAAATTTCAAGAATCTCTGGCTCCAATTAGCAGAATGAAGAAATAGGTCCAGAACACAGAACAATGGCAAATCACATTTTGAAAGCATGTGAACTAAAGTATAACATCTACAGAGAGATGCTTTTAATAAATCAAGTATTATTTAAGCGTACTCAGAGATTATAAACTCCCTCCTAAGTCTCTTAACTGTTCTACATTAACTTAAACTATAAATTAAGGAAATTGGCAATCACTTTTCCCTGATATCATAATAAATTGGACTTTTGTTAAAGTCATAGGTTTAATAATGATTTTTAAAAAACAATAAATATTCTCATGCAAGATCACAATATCTACATCATCATGCAACTCTGAGCAAAATATATTGAAGAACTAAATTAATTTAGGTAACAGGGAAGCAAATTAAGTACAAATGAATCTAGTACATTTAAAGCCAGCCATCAAATTATTTAAGCAAAAATAAATATGCATACATAGGAATCCATTTGGGAGCAGTTGGTACCTGCTACTGGGTTGGTCAGTTTCAGATGTCTCTCTACCAACTTCATGCATCCATTGTCCATGAACTCATAAGCAGACAGAATCTCTCCCAGCATATCCTTGCAGATTGTGAAGGTTCTCAGGACCTGAGAGAAACTTGGGCAAGCTTTATGGTGAAAGCAAAAACCACAGAAAATAAGTAAGAAGGCACATAAAAATAAAAAATGGTATCTATTCTTTCTTTTTCTTTAAATATGTAATTTTACCTTAATTCATTCTACCTTTACTCCAAGTTTAATAAAAGAAAATGAAACTGACAGAGTCATTTCTACAAAACTAAAATAGGTAATAGAAATTTAACTGTTCTCATTTAGAGTGCATGAAAAGCAGAAATTAATCGATTCCCCTAGCTTTCACAAACGAAGGCAAACAAACGTATCCCAGGACAATGTTGCAGAATCCAATCTGGATCAGTCACCAGGACCAGAGGTTTTGTCTTCCAAGCTTTCGGATTTGTGCCAGAGTCCCCATCCTCAGGGGACTTCAGGGAACACACAGAAATTCCCTGAGGGTGGGCTCTAGCACGAGCTCAGAAGACAAAACCTCTGGTCCCGGTAACTGACCCAGATTGGACCCCCTAGCTTTGCTTGACACTCCCCCTCCCCAAACAAATATCACCAACTGAAAACATCCACTATCCATCTTAATATGATGAAACAGAGCTGGAGGAAAAGCTGAATTCTGACATTTGCTCTGTTTAGGCCCAAGTGTTTTGTAAATGTGTTCAATGGGAATATGACTCTTTGCTGATATGTGTGCCATTCCAAAAAAGTACTAAAGTCATGTTCAAAAGCATCCCAGACAAGAGCTGAACAGGTGTGGGAAAAGACACACTATGAAACATCAGAGCAAGATCTTCTCTCTTCCCAACATCATCATGCACTGCCCCCACCCTGCGGCCTATCAGCAGCTATTCAGGCTGATTCAAGTTTTGCAACCAGGAATAGCTTGGAGATTTGGTAGGTACTGGGCAAGAGCCTGGTTTTAAAGACCTAGACTTACCCATTGCCCAAATCAGAATGGACCCAGAAGAAAGTAGCCAGGCCTCAAAGGGCACCAGAACTAATAGGACCAATAGATTCCCAGGTTGAACCCATCCCTTAGAAGCCACTCGACTGCATCACCAACAAATTAGTTGGTATAACACATTATATTGCATACGTGGCAAAACCTATGTCAAAATAAGGAGGAAAGTGTTACTTCAAAACCAGTACAACTAAGAACAACTTAAAGGTGCCCCAGAAATGGAGTGAAGGTATAGTAAAGGCAACTCATAAAGGCACAGAGGAAAAAAGGAGGTAGCCAGATGTGGTTTTGTTGTAGTTTTAGGTACAAGTAAGGAATTAGTTTATTTCACATCAGAGCTGTGATTTGTCATTGACACAGTTTTGAGGTGGCATCTATAAATTAGACAAGATTCATGATAATTTCATTTCATATTCAGTTATTATTTCAGGATGCCCTGATTTCTTACATCTGCATGTGGCTTCCATGCCAATAGTAAAAAGCAGTTTGCTAATGGCATAAATTTTCTCCATTCTCATCCCTGTTTCTATGAATAACACTGGTGATCACATCAAATAGTTACAAAACCTAAATATAAGAAAGTAGCTTTGATAAACTAACTGCTGCCTCAGATGCATTCTTCCTGTGCAACTCTTGGAAGTACAAAAAGTGCATCTAAAAACAAGAGACAGGAATGACTCGCACCAAGAAATGCCAGATTCACAGCATTTGGTTTCCGTGGACAGAGAATGGACACAGCAGTGACCATCCCCAAAGTCCCCTCTGAGCCAATGAAAAGCTGCTTCAAGTCATAGCCAGTATTGTCTTTCCGCAGCGATGCCAAACAGTTCAGGATGGAACCATCAGCCAGCACCTAAAAGAGGACAAACTTTGGTCCATCATTAATGAATCAGCTTTATTTCAAATAGATCAATACAATGTTTTTATTTTAAATTTTGTTTATGATGGTTACACAGGCTGAACTAAAGAAACAGTATATTCTAAGTTGTATTTTTGTAGAAAAAAAGGTAGTACTACCTTTGCAATAGAATAAAGAATAAATGGTAGAGAATAATTATTATTTTTTTAAATTAAAAAACAGAAAGCGCTTTTTTGAATTTCAACTTACCACTTCTAATCCAAGAACTGTCCCTCGAAGGGACCCATACCTCAGGAGGCGCAAGCCCCCTGCATTTGTAGCTACATTTCCTCCGATATGGCAACTGCCCTTGGCTCCAAGGTCAAGAGGCATGACAAAACTCTTTGACTCCAAATATTGGTTGAGGTTCTCTAAAATGCAGCCAGCCTGGCAAATCAGGATTCCTGGGACATAAATATCAAGTTACAGTATGTCAGATAAAAATAATTCTCTTTCTAATGGAGAAGTTTTCTCAAAATTCAGGCATAAAACAAGCTAGTTGGATTTGTGGGATACAATTAATAATCAAAGATCTAGCAGCTGCTTCTTCACAACTGGCTAAGCTCAATTAATTTTAATTTGACCCAGTTATTTTCATTTAGCATGCTGCCTAACGCAGTCTCTGGTGAATTTATGGCTCAATATATTGGGCAAAACAAGAAAAGGAAATAAATTTAAAAGTGTAGTATGAACTCAGTTGGATCACCTTGAGTAGGTCACTATCTCTTCAACTAACCTTCCTTGCAGTAGTAAGGTGACTATTATATATGCAAGATCCTTTCTTAGACTAGAGAACACTTTGAAGTCTTCAAAGGTATGGCTGAGGATGCAGACTTTTAAATAGCTTTATCTCCTGTACTTAGATTTTTTTTTTCCTGTTGTTATAGGCGTGGAGGGGGGAGAGAACAATTTTATCAGGCTTTCTAAGTCTGGAAACCATGTTCCCTGAAAAGAAAATTCTATCAAGCCACCAGATTTGCCTCTCAAACCTTGACAAGAATTTACCAGAAATATGGTCAAAACTGATGATCTGGTTCATAAGTCCTGTGGAAAGAATGATCTCATCAAAGACAGGAACACTGCCACCAACAAGGCCGGTATTGCCTCCCTGAGGATTCACGGCCAAGTTCTTCTCATTGCAGTATCTGAAAAGGAACATTTTACTATTCTAGAAGTTAAAAATGCTGCATCCATGACACGATTATTTTAGGTCTCCCCAGATCAAGTCAGAATAAACTTTCTGGCTTCTAGTCAGAAAGTCAATATGATTCCTTTATTAACACATGGGGATGGCTAGAAGTGGGAGTTCATCCAAAATTCAGGAAATGATTGTCAACATTTACAGCTAGTCCTCACCTTACAACCAGGACCATTCAAAGTCATAACAGCACTGAAAAAAGTAATTTACCACCAGTTCTTGTACTTATGACCATTGAGGCATCCCCATGGTCATCAAAATTCAGGCATTTGGCAACCCACATGTATTTACAATGGTTGCAGTGTCCTGGGGTCATGTGATTGCCATTGGTGACCTTCCCCGTCACCTTTTGAGAAGCAAAATTAATGCAGGAAGCCAGATTTGTTTAATAACCATGTGATTCACTTAACAACTAGTGATTCACTTAACAACCATGTCAAAAAGGTTGTAAAATCAAGTGTGACTCACTTAACAACCACCCTGCTTACTAACAAAAATTCTGGTCCCAATTGTGGCCATATGTTGAGAACCACCTGTAATTGTCAGCATTCAGTACACATTTGTACTAAAGGCTTTCAGCATTTGGTATATATTTAGTTGATATTGCTTCTTCAAATGGTGATGTGCTTGCACACATGGATGTGCAAATATGACCTAGGAGAATCTGCAGCTGTTTTCTAGGAGAGTTGATATGCAGAGCTCTCTTTGACTCTAGATCAGCGGTTCTCAACCTATGGGTCGCAACCCCATTTGGGGTCGATCGACCATTTTTCAGGGGTCGCCAAAGAAGGCGATCCACCATTTCCTCCCCTCAGGGGGTGGCGCCGCGCATGCGCGCCACGCACAGGGGGCGCCGCCACGCATGCGCGCCACGCACGGGGGGCGCCACCACGCATGCGCACCACACATGGGGGCGCTACCACGCATGCGCACTGCACATGCACGGCCCCGCCCCCATGCGCGCGGCGCCGCACATGCGCAGAACGTTTGTGTGACGGGGGTTGCCGTCACACAAACATTGAGAACCACTGCTCTAGATGCTTCTATACACTATAGATGTATAAATGCTTCCTGACTGAAGGCTTCTACTGCTTCCAGTCCAAAGATACCAAGCAGCTATTCCATCATTTTTCCACTTTTGGAGGAAAGGCTACAGTAGTAAAAAAAAAGATTAAAATGTTGGGAAATTTGGAAAGATTATAGTCAACAATATTTAAATCTTCTATAAAAACCATTTGTTTGTGGGAGGGGATTAAACAAATGCATGCTGAGTCTGAAAGCAATCTAGGGTAGAAAAATCCATCTATCTGGAAGCACAATTTTGACAGTATTTTTTATCTGTTCTAAGGTTATAAGATATTCTTAAAAGCACAAGGCTGATATACTCGGAGGATTCCTTAGTGTTGTCTCAGTTTTTCTTTTTAAAGAACAATTGAGTCAACTGAAAAGTGCAGAGAATTGTTCTGTGTTCCCACATAAAAATTACTTGTTCATCAATTAAGAGACTATGACAAGATCCAGGAGATAAAAATTACTGTGATATTTTATTCTCTATATGCAGTAATTAAAAGTTTTCTTCTATCCTCTTAAACATCAATTCATTTATCATATAAGACCTTGCTTATTATGAGGAGTTTTTCCTACTTAATGCACCTTAAACAATACTAACTGTTCTTTACCTGCTCCAGTCTTTACACTGATAGTTCAGTTACCAAAGTGATTGAGGGAGGGAGAGAGGGAGGGAGGAGAGTCAAGGAGGCTGTGGAAGAGGGAGGGAGGGGGGGGAGAGAGAGAGAAATGGAAAGAAAACTCTTCTTCAAAAACTACAATCCTAACTCCTGAATCATTCAGTCTTCAGAAATGTAACAGGACGTGGCCCATTTTGGTTCATTATATACTCTGTTCTTCACATGTGTATGAACAATACAGAAGGCACATTCTTCTAAATAACAAAATTTCTAACACTGTACACTATGTTCAAAAAAACATATTTACTTGAGAATTTGAGAGACTTCCATTGTTGTCCGTGGCTTTAGCAGTACTGTACTGCAGCCTGCAATGGAAATAAGATGAGAGAATTCTATTACAAGCATGATTTAATTTTTTTTTTCTTAATCCAATTACCTAACCCTTCATGTGCAGGGTTGGAGGGGGAGAGGGAAGTTCAGTGTTATCTTTAATTTTACCCCCCCCTCCGGTTTTCCCATCACTTATTTCTTAATTAAAAAAAAAAGATAGCTACGTAATGTAATTTAGTTGGTATTACACTATGGATACTCCTATGCACTATAATTTCCTCTTCAATGCCAGATTTATCCTTAAATAATGCTTTGAACTAAAGACCTGTCCTATGTTGTTTGCAGAATGCTTTATCAGGATGGCAACTATAGCAATGTCCAGTTGTAAAAAAAAATTAAAATGATTTACCTCTCACAGACTTTAGCCAGTCCACATTGAAAGGTTTGAGTTCCTCTGCATCAGTAATGACCCTCCCAGGCAAAAGGTGCTCAAAGAAAGTTAAATCAGAATCAGAAATATGGGCAAAGGGCAGCCTCTCTACCCCATACCGTTCACAGGTGAGCATTACTTCCTGGAGATGAAGTTGGCTGGTGTGCAGATTTCTCTTCGCTATGTTGCCGATGCTCCACTGGAGAGAAGGTAAGAGCAGAAGTGTCTTCACTGGTTCTGTGGCTTTTTTTTCGATTCTGGATAGAGCAGCAATCCTAGTCCATATGCTCCTAGTTTTTCTCTGGCATCTGGTAGCCAACCTGGGTACAGTTCCAATGTACTGAAATAGACAATGCCAGACAAGGCTGGAAAAAGCCATAATCAACCTGAAACACAAAAATAACCAGATTGAATCCCTCTTTCCAAAAAGCTCCCATCACATTTTTCACTTTTTAAAAAATGAAGACCATTTCAAATGAAGACCATTTAGAAAGTCATAGTCATACACAGATCACATGATACAACAATTTGCTAAGTTACTCTAGGGCCATGGTGGCGAACCTATGGCACATGTGCCACAGGTGACACCCAGAGCCCTCTCTGTGGGCACGCGCGCCCTCGCCCCAGTCCTAGACCTTCAGCTGGGTTTTATAAAACCTTTTCGCTTTAGGCCTCCGTCGCTGTGTGCAAAACCCCCCCAAAACGATCGATCAATCAATTTCAACTTTTCGCAGGAAAAAAAAAGATCTCGCAAAGTTGGAATTGATTGAACTTTTTAGTCCCACCCAGTCTGCCGTTACCATTGCAGTCACGCCCACCCAACGGGCCACACCCACCCAATGGGCCACACCCACCCAGCACCCTACGATACATAAGTGGGTTTTGGGTTGCAGTTTGGGCACTCGGTCTGTAAAAGGTTCACCATCACTGCTCTAGGGGGTCAGAGACTAAAAATCACAATTGACTTCACCTATCCTGTTTTTTCTACATTGCTATGTAGGAGAAAATACATTTTCAATAAAATGTAATTGTATTAATTCTGCAAGTTGAGTGATGTGAATAATTAATCGCCTGTGCTCCCATACATGAAAGGTCCTCATTCAAAATACAGTTCAGTATTTGAAATGACATTTTTACTATAGAAGAAATAAATATGAAAACTCATTTTACAAACAAAGCATGCACAAAGTGCAAAATATCCCCAGAAATGGGCATGGAAGTTTGGCTGTTTGGGTGCAAACCATAAATGAGACTAAATCAGATAAGCCTTCTAAGTTTTACTTTTCCTATCTTCAAATTATTTCATCACTTTACTTAACACAGTAGTTAAATGAATACAGGTTCAGCAGTGTTTCCCAATCTTGACAATTTCCGAATATAGTACATTAATTCCAGGTGCTTTGGAGTTCTCCACTTGGCAGGTCATTGTGGCAGAGAATTCTGCTAGCTGAAATCCAGAAAACGAACTTTGACATTTGGCTTGAACATCCCTTTTTTAACCCACTTCCTGCTAACTGGAAAATTTCAAAAATTGCACTCTCTTTTGTGACCTCGAACTGGCTTGCAATCGGATTTATTATTCTTTTTACGATTGCTAGGACTTAAATAGGAAAGGGAACAAACGAGGGGGGCAAAGCCAGAGCTCGCTGCTCGTTTTTTTCGAGCTGTCGAGAAAATTATATCAGGCGTTTAGAGCAGAAGGAGCACGGGAATCGCAGGCCCTGGAAGAAAATTCTGATCCACTGTAGCAAAGTGTTAGGGAGGGGAAAGGAAGGGAAGAGTGTCACCAGGCGGAAGTTTCTTCTGTGCGCCTCGCAGGCAGCAGTCATTGCCATGTACTCACTTTTGCACCAGACCAGGGCCGACCTTTCCCTCTCGGGTAGAATTAGGCAGTCCCTTGTTCGCTCCGCCCCATCTTTACGAGTAAAGAAGCGACACGCCACGCTCGTCGCCTAAGAGCGATTGAATCGATCGGATACAGATGCCGGTGGTGTTCCTGCTTGCCGACTTTTTCCTCGCAGCGCGGCATCTCTGCCTTTTAAGATGCTGTATCCGCTCCGCCGATTCAGAACAGAAGCTTCTCAATCTATCCGCCACAGCCTAACGCCTCCCAAAGCTGTCAGAGGCAGCAGAAATACAATCCTTTGCCGTTTGAAAATTCAACGAATGTGAAGCATTTCTTTAAAAAAAATGGTAAAAGTTGACATGTTAATATGCTGGTTAACGCTCGTATTAAAATAGCGGATGCTTCGGGAAAGAGTCTTAAAAGTGAAATTATCCTGCCCTTCTCACTCGACTTTTGGCCGTAATAGAAAAGTGGGGGAGAGAGAAATGTGTTCAATTTCCCACATTTCTGTGACTTTAAAATGTAACTGGAAAGTCAGTAAATAACACCAATTCTCATTCTCAGTTCAGACTCAGGAATTTAGGAAGAGCGGTTAAGGCGTTGGCCAAGCTTGCTGGCTGGGTCTTTCTGGGAGTTGAAGTCTACACATTTTAAAACGTTGCTGAGGTTGAGAAACACTGGATTAAGGCAGAGCTCCCCAACCTTTTGGGCACCAGAGACTGGTTCTGTGGTGAAAGGTTTTTCCATGGACCGGAAAGTGTGTGGTTTTGTGTGCTGCCTGCATCCCACAGATTGGCTTGTTTGTGCAGACCGGTTGCTGGCATGCCACGGACCGGTACTGGTTCACGGACTAGGGGCTGGGGACCACTGGATTACGGTGTCAAGAGTCAAAATTCAAACTGCAATCATCTGATGATTCCAGATGTGCTGGAACTATTTCTTGAATCCCCTGAATTCTAGTCTTTCTGGAAGGCACAAAGTTGGCAGAAGCTGTGCTGTTATATCATTCTTGCTGGATAGTAGCTACCATGCAAGATTTTACTAAGCTAGCATTTCTGGTTAAGGTAATGCCATTAAAATCAAGAAGTTGTAAGATAATGATAGTGTCACCTGTTCTAGGATTCTCTCTATCCCGCACTGCTTTAATTAATCTGCATTTAATATGCACTTGCACTTAACGTGGACTAGAAAGGAAGTAGGTAGCCAGCTCAGCCCTTTCAGAACTGATGATCATGATTTTGTTGCCGAATGGTACCATAAAATATGTGATTGTTTGTTTTTGCTACCATGATTTGTAAACAACTTTATAAATGTAATGTATTTTTGAAAATACAGTGATGTCATTCATCCAGGTCCTAGTGAGATGTTAGTTGGGCATTTCAAATTTAATTCAAATTTTATTATTAGATCTACCATTGAACTGAACTGAGTTGCAAAAGTAGAGATTTGTTATCAGGATTTCACTTGGATTTAAAATCTCCAACTAAAATCAAGGCCAAATTTAGAAATGTAAAGTTTTAGTGGAGGATTACAAAATCCTCTAATCACCTAAGAAAGGATTGATCTGATAAATCATCCAATGCAGGGAGATTAATTACTAGAATAGGGTTGAATTTTAGTCTATAGAAATGGACATTAAATTAAACATTGTGACTGAAACAACTGCTAGAAGCGTGGATGAATTTAAAGTGGTTATGCTGCCAAATGTGCAACCTTTAAGCTAGATCTGGGGTATCAAACTCAATTTCATTGAGGGCCGCATCAGCATTGCGGTTGTCCTTGGGGGGGACGGGTAGGTGTGGCCAGGGTGGGCACGGCCTACTGGGTGAGCGTGGCTGGAGTGGGTGTGGCCTGCTGGATGGGCATGGCCAGCTCTACATCATTTGCGTCAAGGGTGCCTGTGGGGGTCTGGGTAGGAGTGGGACAGATCTGAGGGTCTCTGGAAGAAGGGGGTGGGACCAGGGCAAGCGCCAAGGCATAGTCCACTGGAAGAGCCTGCTGAAACCCCTCCCCCAGAGCCCATCAAGCCGAATATGTGAAGTAGGCGAGGGCCATTTGCTGGCCACTTCCAGGAGATGGTGCATATTTTCATTCCTCACAAAGGGTGACACCTCCCCAGCATGCACCCAGGGGGCAGGGCCGACGCAGCAGGAGCCGGTCCCTTGCTGTTTCCACACGGCCTTGTGGAGCTAAGACTGAATGGTTTCAGCATAGATGGCCATTACAAAATTGTACATTGGCTCCCAGCTGGCCAAGGCACGGGAGCTTCCCTCATTGTTTCCATGATGGCTTCGTGGGCCACATGAAATCACGTCGCAGGCTGCATCTGGCCCCCGGGCCTTGTGTTTGACATGTCTGAGCTAGATGTTTTGAACAATAAGAATGGAATGAAACTAGTCAAAGCCAATGACTGTGATACAGTGGTGAAAGTGAGTTAATTGCATTTCAAGTATTAGTTATACTCCAGATTTGGTGTAAAGCATAAGTGAAATGCAAATCATTCAAAGGGCTCCTGGAATGGAGCTTAAAATATAAATCAGCTACACAACTGAGTTTTCTTCCCCAGAACTTTGAAGCACAAATTAAAAGTTAAAATCTAGATTATAGACAGAATTTTATTTCACTCTAGTTTGTGCACTATTTTCTTTCTCAGAAACAAACATGTCCATATATTTGTTCTCAAAAATACTTTATTTATAATAATATACCTAATATATCCATAACATGATCAAAAATACATTTCACATTTTAATAAAAAGATTTATAATATTCTCTTCATTTACAAAGGAAACATAAACCTAAAGCTCCGACTAGAAAATTTAGGCTGTGACATTTATTTATGAGGAACAATGGGATGAAGATAACATTTCTTTTCGAAAAATGGAGTTCATTTTTTAAAAACATGTTTCAGCTCATGTTCAAGTTTCAATAATGAAACCGGATACTGTACAATCACATTTAGAATAGTTTCTCAAAAGACAGGAATCAAGATGACAAGTTCAAAACCAATAAGGATTTTAAAGCTTCAAATATAATCTGGTTGGTATCAATGCAAAGCTTCTTTCAAAATAGGTATGTCAACATGGAAAAATTGCTCAGTCCAATACCATTTTTCAAAAATTGGATGATGAAATTTTACTCACTCATGCTAAATACCTAATTCCTTGGAACTTAAGGATGAGTTTAAATCTTATTTATGATAAAGTTAAATTTGCTTCAGGAACTATATAGCAGCAGTAATTGTTGATATTACATAAAAAGAGCCTTTACTATCAAAGAGTACTGTACTCTACTGACAGGAAAAAACATAATTTAAAAGTAATTGCTATTATACTATAATCTATGTCACATTCTTCTAAATCTGGAATAGAAGGTTAAAAGCCATAATTACTACTTGTTAATAACTGAACTACTGATCTGTGAATTCTTACAAAAACTGCTGTCAATAAGAATGCATACTGTTTTATTGGAGGCTAGAAAATCTGTGACTCGGGTTATAAAAACTATGTAACATTGATCAAAAATCCTGTAAGATACTCGATATAATTTTATTATGTTACAACTGGGACTGTGAAACAGAATTACCAAGCATCTGACAGACTAAAAAATTAGTCAATTGATGCATCACTACCTACAGAGGCACACTTTATTTTATAGAAGATCAGTATAGTACACCCCCAATTTCACATTTATCTTTTGTTCTCTTCTAGGAACTCAACTTAGGGCAGGAATAGATACAATATAATCCTCCAGATTCTGCTGATTCCTGATGTCTGTCAACTTTAATCAGCATGAACAGTGTATTAGATGATAGGAATTATCAAATAGCATTTATGTGGGAACAGACTACTCATTTGTGACTCCAGGACACCAATGACTCCTGCTCTTTTTGTAAAAAGAAATATTATCGGTGCTTTTTTTCATCTCTTTTGCAAGAATCTGACTTAGGACAAAATCTGTCTTCTAAAATTTTTAAGCATTGACAACAACACTATATAGTGGTACTTCAGTATTCAACTGCTTTGAAACTCATCCAATTTGGTACTCAATGCATTTTGAAGGAAAAATTTTGTCCTGGTACTTGTCATTTGTAGAGCTAGAACTTGCAAACTAGAACTTGTCAGTGTCTGATGCCTCATGACTCACTACTTTTTCCAGCCAAAACAAAGGGTGATCTGTTAATCATATGGTAGTCCTTGCCTTGTGCACATCCCCTTTCAGTCTTATCTTAGTTTCTGTGGTAATTTTGAATATATTTGCACTTTTTTTCTCATCAGTACAGTTAAACTGATTTTTTTATTTTATTTAATATAAGTATTAATTTTTAGATTTGTTTGTCATGTAAAGTATACATGAGAAAACTTTTAACATATTGCCTTAAAATGTGCATTGTTTTTGGTTTGGGAATGTATTGAAATTTCTTTTTGGTACTCATCACGCTTCCTGGAACCAATTAATGATGTGTACTGAGGTACCACTGTATAGCAATACGACATTCCAGAAGCACATAAGAACCCTACAGCATGAATATTACAATTTTATTTCTTCTCTCCTTCTTAGGAAAATAATGCAGTTTGCACATTTAGAAAGCAAGTACAGTTACAGAAAACATAAAATGGTACAAAGAATACTGCAACTGAACTGCATTACTAACTACAAAATTGTATGTATAAAACTATAAGAATTTGCATTCTTACATAATAAAAACCAAACTCTTGAAGTTTTTTTTTAAATGTAAACTAACAATTGTGTTTTGCAGCAATCTAGAGATCTGATTTTTCCATACTGAAATCGGATTCATTTTGATGCTGCAGATATAACGGTAGCAGTTTTTTAAAGCAGGGGTCCCCAACCTGTGGGCCGCAGCCTGGTAGTGGATCGTGGCCTACTGGCACCCGGGCTGCAGGATAGGCTGGCCAATGCACACGTGTGTGCATGCGCGCACCCCCTCACTTGTGCTAGTGCCATGGCTGTGGGGCGCAAAAACAGGTAAAATTTAGCCGCCGCACCTCGGGGTGTGAAAATGGGATATGCCACGGAGTGTGAAAATGGGCCACTGCACCACCAGAGTGCAAAAAGAGCCGCCACCACACAAAAATGGGACACCACCACACTGCAAGGCGCAAAAATGGCCACCACAGGGAGCGGAAACAGGCCATCACCGCACTGCAGGGAGCAAAAATGGCACCGCCGCATTGAAACAAGGTGCTGCACCACACAAGAACGAGGCAGGGCTAGTATCACATGGGCGCTAGCCCCACCCCGTTTGTGGCACATGTGTGCTCGCGGCCCCATGCGTGCACACATATAAAATGCTTCCCCTCCCTTTTCCTCCAGTCCGCCAACCAATAAAGTTTGGTGGTCTCTGGTTTAAAGAAAGGGATTGATTGCTAACATTTTTGCACTCATCTTTACATTACAACCTAAAACCAATTCTAGCAAATTAGACAACTAGCTATTTGTAAAAGGGTATGCTTCTCTTTTAAATTGCCTTCACTTTTTATTTTTAAAAAGTTAAAACATACTATTTAAAAGCTGAAGATTGTATGACAGAGTCCTTGATGAACAAGTGTGTTTTTATCTAGCTGAACAGAATTGTCAGGTTTATGAATTATATAAAAGCATGCAAACTTTGAACTATGAGAGAATGACAGATGAGCAACAAAAAGTGTGTGTGTGTGTGTGTGTGTTTGATGGGGGAATGCCGATCACTTACATGAGAAACTCAGAAAAGAATGCTAACGTTTACAGTGGGCAGTAGAAAATTTCTTAGTGAAGTCAGAAAATGAGCATTTCATATCAGGTAAGCCTTAGAACTGCATAACCTTCTATCAAACACTTTTGTGCAGTTATGGGAACTTCTCCTTTTCTAAAACTTTATTCCCTGAAAACTAGCTTTCCTGGTCCTTTGTTTGTTAATCCAAACTTATTTTAAAATATTAAATCTTACTTTATTTTATGAGAGATTTATACTATACTGATAACACAGGTATTATTTCTCTGAGCCTTCAGTTTCAGTGAAATCAGAATGAAGCCCAGAAGGAGCAGTACACCGAAACAATAACAATTTTGAAACTCCTCTATTTTATGTGTGAGCTCCCCTAATCAAAAACAAATTTTCTTTGTTCTTTGTGTAAAATATAACTCTGCAAACTTATTTCCAAAGAGGCAAAATTGCACATGGAAATTCTCAGCTCCTTGACAGAATCCAATGTTGTACAAATGGAAATTCTACCTGCAAAAGTGAATTACAAGATTCCATACCTTATCAACAATGATAAAGATTTTGATACTGGCTTTAAAAGACTTCATAAATATTGTGCAAAGCAAAGGCCTGCATCAAAAATTATGCAAGTCTAGCCTTCTCACGCAACAGGATTCATACTTCACTCTGAATGTGTTTCCCAATGCTCATCCCAAATCTCTACAATAATTTTAGAGGATGCATTGGGAAATACAAGAGAAAACATGTCATTCTGCCAGTGAAATGACACTGGTGAAAGCTTCCCAAAATGACTACATTTTGTGACAACAAAAAATGCTATCTTCTTCACATGAAAGGCCACAGGCAGGGTTCAGTATATTAGCAGAAATTCCAGTGCAGACCTTCACACCTTTTTAAGTATTTCATACCTTTGATTACAGTGACAAAGAATTGTACTTTGTAACCCAAATAATCATCACTAATGAACTTCCTATATACCCCACTTTTATCATTAGCATGGCTAATAAAGAGAACATTTGGCTACTGCTTTGTTTCAGGCCAAACAAGGTGGGTTGGTGATGAAAACAAAATTCTGCAACCTATGAATATATTAAACTTTTTTCATACTGTACATCATTTCTACTTCTTCTTCTTGTCCTGCGCACAGCGAGGACAATACCTAAAAAAAGAAAAGCGTTATATTTAGCCCAATACACTTCTATGAAACCACTGCTATTTGACAAAGGAATAAATTGATTTATGAATAGATTAACATGAAAACCACTGGAGATCTCATGCCCCCTATTAATATAATCACAGACATATTCACTTCCCTTATTTTCATCCATTGATCCAATACATACACATATCTTTGCATGTTGGCCTAAATGTCCTAAACCCACATATGATATGTATATTACGTGTGTGGATGCGTAGTTTTTTAATTTGACAATTTAAAGTCACTTTGCAAATAGACAGATGTATAAATTCTAAAATCTCAGATTTCAGTGATATTTTCAAATAAAGGAACAGTAATTTCTTCATACAGCAGTTTGCTGAATGATATACATTTCTAAATTCAGTGGGATATGTTTCCCAGCAGATATGCTTACAGTAATTGCATCAGACCACTTTCCCCTAAATTGATACCTGACAGATATGTTGGGACTATAATTTCCAGCACATCCAGAAAGTTGCTAGATTGAGGAAGGGTTGTCTTATATTATAAGCTCAGATATCAAAAGATAGCTCTTCCACAATAATTTAGAAAGCACTGAATCAAATATATCTTAGCAACAGTGTTTTCAACCTTCTTGGGACAAATGATCTAGGAGAACAAAAAGCAAATAATTCACGGTACATACCATTTCCCTTTGGGTTTGGTTGTGAGATCCACACAAGCAAAGTGAAACCATTCAATTGGACACTATATTTGGGGTTGAAAAAAAGATGAATGGCATAATTTTTTCATTATCATTCTTATGAGCTACCTAGTCCTTCTGAATCATATGCAGAAGTAGCAAATTTTATTTCAATATTCTTTCTTGTAAAATGCTTACATTGTAGAAGTACAGGGCTTATTTTTTACAGCAAAGAAAACAGGAGCACATTAGCTGATGATATATTCATGATTTCATAGTAGTATGTATTCCATATTTCATAATATGAAATATGGAGCAATGATATGCGGAGAATGTTAATGTATGGATTTTTCAAATTAAACAAATATAATAATTGAACTTTTCCAAAATTGTGTAACAAAAAGTCTACAGAATCCTTCTATGGTGCTATTAGGGCTGTGATTTTTTTTCTTTGCAACTTCTTTTTCTTTCCTTTAAGCCTATAAATCAGTGTAATTTTAAATAGCTACCGCAGTGCTGCTTCCTCCACATTTGCAACACAAATTCTTGTAAAATAAATTGTATTTCCTGGAAGGGTACAAGATGACTCAATGTTCCAACACTTTGTAAGAATCAGGGATGGGTTTGTGATTTTATGAAGAATCCTATACTGGATTGGCAGTTGTTTTTGGTTTAGACTGCAAATTTTATCCCACAGTACAAATGGATTTGTCATACTTTGTTTTATTTCAATACTCACATCAGGGTTGTCACACCCAATCATTTCTCCATAAGATACTTGATGGCACAAGCAGTATGTGGGTTCATTGGGATCCACTGGCATGTCCAAGACATCAGAAGGGTGAACTGACAGGATGGTATCAGCTAATTCAGATCTGCAATGATATAAATTCAATGGAACTGGGTGAATGTCAGTGACTCAGAATGTAAGAGTCAGTGATTCAGAATGTAAGAGTTTGTCGTTAACTAGAAGGGGTTCAAAAATTGAAATATTAAAAAGTTGTTGTATCCATACCAGTCAGTTCTCAAGGAAATTTAGAAACTATTTTTGCTGTTCAACTAGCACACTTATTCTCACTTTCAATCAGATAAAGCAATCCATCAATCAATTATACATCAACATGAGAAGCTGCCACTCCCAGAGTAAAAAATGTTCCTTAGTTCCCATTCTTTGAAACCATTAAACATAGGGTTATTTTTCAAAAATCCTAAACAAGTAACAACTCTAGAAATAACTCTTTCCATGCTGAAATTCTAGTGGAGATGGTAGTCTTTCTCACTTGTAACCACTTAAATTAAAATAAATGTGCATAAAAGTGGTTGTGTGATGAGCAGAAAGCAGGCAATATGTTCTAATTGTTACAATGAAACAGAAGCTGTACAGTGCAAATATTAATTTGAACACTGCAGATAAGTTTTTAAATAGTGCTTTTTGAGTAATAATCAATAGAGAGGTGCATTCCAGATAAATTGTTTGATTTCTCTAATACCATGAATTGAATAGAATAATAAAGATTTACAATCAAACCAAAAGTCAGAACAAGTCTTGCCAGACTAACTCTATTGCATTTTTAATCAAGAAACATCCTTAATAAATTGTGAGCAAATCATGATTTCAGAAAAACATCTGACAAAGTATTCCATGATATTCTGATTAGCAAATTGACAAGGTCTGGATGGGTTAACAATTAAGTGGGCAATATCCGTTCTATTTCTCAACATTTTTATTAAGGACTTGAAAGAACAGATGAGAACATGCTTAACAAGCCTGCAGACAAAACAATATAGTACAAGTAGTCCTTGACTTACAACCGTTTTAGTGACCAGCACTGAAAAAAGTGACTTATGACCGTTTTCACATTTATGACCATTGCCGCATCCCCATGATCACTAGAATATAAATTCAGATGCTTGGCAACTGACTCATGACAGTTGCAGTGTCCTGGGGTCATGTGATCACCTTTTACCATCTTCTAACAAGCAAAGTCAATGGGGCAACCAGATTCAGTTAACAACCGTGTTACTAAATTAACAACTGCAATGATTCACTTAACAACTGGAAAGGTTGTAAAATGGGGCAATCACTTAACAACGGCCTCTTTAACATCATAAATTTTAAGCTTGATTGTGATCATAAGTTAGGATTATCTGTATTAATAATGCCTCAAAACCAGAAATAAAATTTAACACAATATTAATAAACAAGAAAAGTTCAGGATACTAGAATGGGTTCAGAAAGACTACAAGAAGGATCAAAGGACTGGGAAAGTAAATTCTATGAAGAGAGACTATTTCTCTATGTTTTATTCTTTAGGGGAAAAAAAGGCAGAAGATGAACTAGACAAGTCTCTACAAATCTCTGGAAGAACATTCCAGGACACAAATATGTATGATCTTATGTTTAAATGTAATTATCAACTGATATTTTTCAAAGATGATACACAGCAGAAAGATACTACTCTTGGGTTTTTGAATAGCTTAAACATTTTTTCTGTACTGTTTTGTCTTGCTCCCACTCATAAATTCATATCACCCAATAAAATTATTCTCTTCCACTATATTCAAAGCAGCATAACACAAAGCAGTCACAAACCTATGGTTTTCCACTTGAATATGCATCTGCAATCATCTAGATGATGCTATTGGTTCCTTTATGATACCTACACGGTTTCATTCATAAACTTACAATTTCACCTCCTTGTAGTATCCATCAGCCCCATTGTTCAAGATCAGACCACTTTCATTCAAATAATTACATAATTATTAACGTTCTTTCATTCATGTTACTCCTTAATGCTTGCTCTTTATCATTTATTCCTTGTACATTCCAAACTACAATCTTCTGTAAGCTGTGGTCATCATCAGATTCACCCACAGACATTAATTTTTGCTGCCCACCATGGCTTTGGTCAAACAAAGCTTTCACATGTTTTTAGGAATTATAGGGAAGGCATATACTAGGTTACCAGCTGAATGACTTCTCCAGGCAACCCCCAAGAATGTGTTTTTCTTCCCTCTCACATAATCCACTTGTCATGCCTCAGATTAGGCAGGTAGAGACACAGTCTTTACACAGGAGTACTCCTTTGTGCTTGCTGTAGTTGGAGAGCAGGGAAGAATAAGAGTTTCCCCCTCCCCTCTTCTGCTGCCTCCCTCTTCCTCCTAGCCCATTGCTTTTGCTTCCTCTGTTCCTCTTCCTTTCAATGCATCTTCCCTTACCTCTAACCTTGCTGGAAAGTACCTCAGCCATGGTACTCTCTTGGCCTATTTCTCTATGCACCATGTGAAAGTTTTCTGATAAAAAATGCCATTTTCCTGCCAGATAGCTTTGATCTGGTTTCAACTTGCCTTACCAAAGGCTGGCACCAAAATGGAGGTCTACTATGTCTTCAAAAAAAGGAAAACAAGCCATTTTGGAGTTGTGGTTAAGAGTAAAGTCTAGATCAGCAATGTCACATGACGTATCGCGACTTTTTCTCCCTTGCCAGCAATCGGGTGGGTGCGGTTTCGGCATGACGCATCCGGCCCGCGGGCCAGCAGTTTTGACATCCCTGGTCTAGATGAACCCCTCAATGACACTCGTGTCACATAAAGTATTTCCTGCTAAAGATACAGACAGTACTAATTAGTTTGGGCACATTTTGCCCATATGCTACAACTGCAACCAATGCTCAATTTTTATCCCAAGCTCACTGGCACTACCCTCTGCGAGCTAGGATATCTAGAGACTGCTATTCCCAATAGTTATTATCTGTTCATTCTCCAACCCTTCTCCAGATTGGGTGTTTTTTTAAACCCATTTGAAGCCAGTCTGGTAAGAGATGTGATTTCTTCCCAAAACCGAAGGCAAAAAACAAAGACAAAATGGAGTTTCCTTTCTCTCTTTTTAAGGCCTACCTGGAAAAGAACTTTCTTGCTTTTGACTAGTGGTTGGCTTCCTATGTTTTTTTTCGTTTCTGTCCATTCTCAAGACTGACAGATCCAATTTGAATAATCTTGAAATCTTTTGTGCCTGAATGGGTTTTTTTCCTTCTCACTAAAAGCTACAATCCAAAACATTATATGGACTCTGGAATGAAAATGTGATTCTACTGCAAGTTGACTTTTGGGGGGAAAAATCCAAACCCAAGAACTCTTGCCTATGGTCTGTACTAATTTCTAACCTTCGTTTTGGTTTCTTTTTCACTGGAACATCTTCCTCTGATGTCCGCCGGCCTCGACCACGAGATGTTTTCTTATCCTTTGGAATTCTCCCCTCTGAAACACAAGTATTTTTCATTAACTACATTATTTAGGAAAATAGTATGATTTTTATTTTTAAACATGTGTACTAATATTATCACAGGAGGCTTTTCTCCAATGCCATTTTCAATTAAGTAATCTCATAGGCATCCAGGCAAAGAGTAAGCTTTTTTTATAGGGCTGTCATAAGGCACTTCCTCAAGGCCACATTATACACTTTCCTCCTCTCCAATCATAAAGGAAAGCATATTGATATAAATCAAGCTGTTCCTATAGATTATTGCACCATAGCAATGGGATCAGGCATTGCTGTTACCTTGACGCTAATATGGTATAACTTCAAAACAGTGTTTGGTAGATTCCCAAATCTTTCTCTTCTCCTACCCAGCATCACCCTCTGGCAGGACATCAAATACAAATTGGTGCAATGAGTAAGGCTGAAGGGTTTAATCCATAATTTTATTGCTTATTTATTTATTCTTAATTTTTATTATTCATTGCTTGCTTCTTTTAACAAACAGATTCTGCAAGAATCCTGATGATCTCTAGAACACAGATTCTTTCAAATTGTTTCAGGGACTATTACTTCCTTGGCAGATCAGGAGTCCTGTTAAAGATAGATAAGTCTAGTTCCAACAACTTCTCTTCACAAAATCTGCCTAATAGAAAGTATTAATTTGAAATACAGGTAGTCCTTGACTTATGACCACAATTGAGCCCAAAATTTCCATTACAAAGCAAGACAGTCATTGAGTTTTACCCCATTTTACAACCTTTCTTGCCACTGTTATTAAGTGAATCACTATAGTTGTTAAGTTGGTAGCACGGTTCAGTGACTCTGACTTCCCCATTGACGTTGCTTGACAAAAGATCGTAAAAGGTGATCACATGACCCCAGGATACAGCAATAGTCATAAATATGAGCCAGATACCAAACGGCCAAATTTGATCACGTGACCATTGGGATGCTGCAACAACCTTAAGTATGAAAAATGGCCATAAGTCACTTTTTTCAGTGCCATTGTAACTTTGAACAGTCACTAAACAAAAGTAGACATGGCAAATCAGAAAAATTGCATTCCTGGATCTTTCTCATTTTTCTTTCCCGAGGACAATTTCTTATAAATCATTTTTGGTCAAATAAATAGTCTTTTCTTTCTCCATTCCAGTATTTAAGTGTAATGATAATTATATCATCAATCATATACTTTCTCATATTCCAAGCTTCTCCATACACAAATATGTATACACAACCCAAGGACCAAGATTGATGGCTTAGACAGATTTAAAAAAATAATTCAAGTTCTAAAGGTTCTATCATCTTAGTCACAATATCCATACTTTTTAAGTTTTGTGTCACAGGACTTTCAAAATCACTGCCTTCCAACTTATCCTTCAAATCAGCTTCAAATCGGGCAAGGTCAGCATCCAGCCGTCGAATGTGCTTGTCCACCTGAAACAGAGACAGAGACACCACTGAGCTGAAGAAAACAAATTTTCTTAAATAGTATTTTAATTCTAATTAGACTCCTTTTCTGTAATAAAATGTTAGAAGTTTGGTATACATGTTTAGAAGGTAAAACAAGAATAGGTTTAAAGTACAAGGAAGCAGGATTTTGATTGGATATCAAGGAGAATTTCCTAATCATAACAAACCGTCTCAAGAGGCAGCACACTCTCCTTCACTGCAAGGATATAAAAATAGCCAGAATGGCTCTGATGTTATAAATAAGGGATTCTTAAACTAGATGATTGATAATGTCCTTTCCAGCCACTATATTATTTTTTTTAATTAGGTATTTTTAAGAAAAGGGAAAAAAGAAAGCATCAAATCGATTAATACTGAATTTATGAACAATATAGAATTAGGTTTCATTTTTCATTATTTCATTAATTAGTTTTAAATAACTGAATACTGTAAGCAATATTCATATATTGTATATATTTTTATAATTTTTATAAACCACCCCAAAATACTTTTATGTTTTTCTCATTTGCTAGTGTAGCTAGCAGGCACACTAAATTTGGCTGCTGGCAAGCTGTTGTGAAGCTTCGTAGTGGTAACAAATATGTAATAATTATGAAAAAAAAATTAAGACAACATTGGAAACATTTTTCTGTAAGTACAGAAACAAGGGAACACTATCATAATAGCAATTCTTTTTACTAAACAGAATCTATCAGCTACAGCTCAATGTCAAGTGCACAATATAGTTATATCTGTCAAAAATCATGGCTTAGTACAATGTGTGAGTACCTATTGTGTCATAGCTGTTAATATATTCCTCAGTGAAATTCTAATCAATAAATCCACTTCAGAAACTTGGCTGAAGAGACAATTCTGATAAATGTATTTCTGACAAATATAGTTACTTATCAGACACATTCACTCTAGACTTCACAATTTTACTACTCCTTCCATTGTGTAAAAGATTAAATGAGGAAATAGTACAATCTTATACACAAGCTCTGAAGCAGAAAAATTATAATGATTGGTGTTAAGCAGAAGTCCAGCACAGCACCTCCATTCGTCCAGAAATCAGTTACTAAATATTAAAAAAATGCTGCCATCTGAAACATAAGCTAAAAGGTTAGATAAGAGATATCATAAACATAGGCAGTCTTATGCAGTATCATTCCTCTATTTAATCTTACCATCTCGTAGGTCTGCATGGCCAACTGCACTTTGTCATCACTATATTCTTTGCATTTTGTATAAGCATTTTGGATCTTCTGCAAGATTTCCACTCTTTGCTCCGATGACAGATCCCGCACTGTTGAAATATATTGTGCAGCAAGACTATCTATTTCTGCTTTCTTGTCTGAAGAATAATGAGAAACAGTATAAGTATAAAACTGAAACTGCAATCCAAACTTTATCATACCGAAAAGCCTAAAAAAATTTAATGAGGATTTTGTTTAAATAGAGAACTAAGAAATTGTGTTTTCATGCTGCAGTTAGCTCATTTACTAGGGAATGTTTTACTGATCACATTGGCATTTAGTTTCACATAAACACAATAAGTATCTAATTGTATTTTATAACTGAAATGTTTCAAGAACCATACAAAACAAAACCTATTTCTCATTTTAAATACAAATGTGTTTATTTTAAAATATAGGATGGAAATTCCAAACCTGACATGTGTTTAAAAGTCTTTAGTACAGCAATTTCTAAAATTTCAGTACCTCAATCTCCAATGAATTTACTTCATCCACTAACTCACTGGCAGCCATTTCTTTACCACAAAATCCTTAAGCATACTACCAGATGTATGGTGTATTTACTGAATATCTCATATGTGATTTGGGATGCTAGCTAGTATTAGAAGAGAGCTAAACAAAATATCTCACTCTGCCTCCAGAAATCAGCTAGTTAGAGAAAGAGAGTGGTGTATTATTTGACTCTCTTGAATGTAAATGGCTGGTATAATAATTTTGAGGATCAAAACATTAAATTTCTGCTGGTGGAAGGAAACATCCCTTTGTATTCAGTCCTCTGAAATAGTTTGATTTAAACATGTTTTCCAACAATATCTCATAAATTCAAATGCATAACTTATTTCCCATATGCAAGCAGAGAACCAAAGTTAAAGAAATGGGCTACTTCTAATATCATACTGTTTGTCTATGGAGATTCTCAGTCATCCAGGTCATGGTTGTCCCAAAGGTGCTTTTTCAAGAGGCAACTGGCACACTTTAACCCCAAGAATGCTGGGAATATAAATCCTTCCAATCCCCACAATCTAGTCAGAGCTGAAGAAGCTTCTTGGACGAGAAGCAAAACATTTTCAAAGAAAAACAAGGAAGTCCATTTGCCTCTTGTCCTTTGGGAAATTGTACTGTTTGTCCTTTAAAACATTTGTCATATACAAAAATAAAATATTAAATAATTTGATTATCACTAATTATTTTCAAGATGTAGAAAATAATCTTAATTGTTTGACTTTTATTTTAAATATGTATGACGAATCCTTAAACTTGTCTTCTCAGATCTGTCTAAATTTAATACCAGGTATACATTACATCAAAAATGGAAAACCTTTCTTTCTGTTAAAGGCTATATTGCTTTAGGGTCAACATGAGAAATACATTGCTTTGAGAGTAACATGAGAGATACAGCTAAAATAAACAGTGAATGGGGCTCGCACCAAAAGTACATAGTCATTTTTTTCCTAATGCCTCTTTTTTCTTTCATTCTCTTTCTGTTGCTCTTTCAACTCTCTTCCACGGATAAAGTATAGG